TGAATGGATGAAGTATATCTTTGGCTATGTTTGGCAGTCTTTTGCAGCTGACAATCGGCTGAAAATTTGTCATTTCAGTCAATTATAATATCATATCAGTAAACAAGTTTGGGAGAAAGATGTTTTGAGCTTCAACTGGAGTTATTTGACTGAAATGGAACGTTAACATGAGCAACGTTTCATTCAGCCCATAAAAAGCAGACTTTCACGTCCCTAAAATATCCCTGATCTATCCAGATTTCAAGCATCCGGCTGCTCCAAAAATCCATCACCTCATTCTCTTCCGGTCTTTCGCTGGAGCTTAAAATGCGATTTCTAATGCTATTGGAATTTAGCAATCCAATTGTCGTTAGCTATGTACTGCCTCAACTTTAACCCCAACAGCTCTTGGGGAAAATCTTGTTTTCAAATTCTGGCGAATATTCCAAATTGCAGAAACCGGCATGTATGAATGTATGATGTAATGATGTATCATGCTTCGCTTCTCTTGAGCCTTCTATGCCTTCTATGTGAATGTGCGTGTAAAATAATTACATAGTATTATTAATTCTGACGGAGTATTTCTTTTATAAATATAATATATTTTAGGGAAAACTACCGTAAACGTACTTGTGGTTTGGGGTAGGGGTGGGTTCGGTTTATGCGGTTCGGTTTTGACCTAAAACCAAATGTAGAATCAAACTATAAACTTCGGTTCGGTTCGGTTTGTTCATATTTTTTTCTCCAACCACGGTTCAATCGGTTCGGTTTTGTTCGGTTCGACTTCGGTTTTTTCGGTTTTAAACCAAAAGACATATACTTTCTGAAAAAAATGTGTGCAAATAACCAAATAAGCAAAAAAAAAAAAACAGAAAGAAAAACATTGAAGTGCAGGAAAATAAAAATGCAGTCACCTAAATAAGTCTATGGTTCATAAAACTCTACACCATATTAAATGAAAGTTTATAACTAAAATATTTATGAATGACTAATTGTGTATAAATATGCAATCACTAAAGTTATACACTAATTAAAGTCTATCATTCATGACACAACAGGTCATTGATTTTTATTGTGTCACTAATTTGTGAACATGTTATAGACTAATTTAAAAGCAGACTCCAATTACAGACTTTTAGTCACAAACAGTCATTTTATCAAAGACTAATTTAAAAGCAGTCACCAATGGCATTTTATCAAAGTTAATGGCATTTCTATCATTCATAAAACTCTACACCATATCAAATAAAAGCCAATCAAATATATATAAAAAATGAGATCCTGTTGCCCAAAAATCAAAGAATGAAATGTCAAGGCTGCTTCACAGACTAATGACCGAAAATTTGCAACAACTTGATCAAGAAGCTACGACAGTGACCAATATTACGGGAAAGAATTGAGACTGGAATGCCATACAGGCTTCAACCACTAATTCCTTGGCTGGATCCACCAATTGTCTATAATTACAGGCTCATACACTTCATATAAAATAATTTATTTTTTTATTTTTTTTATATATTTCGGTTTTTTTCGGTTTCGGTTTGGTTTTTGGGGGTTAAAACCGAAATCGAAACCAAACATGTTCGGTTCGGTTCGGTTTTTTATGTTCAGTTTCGATTTTTCATCGGTTCGGTTTATTTGGTCTCGGTTCGATTTGATTCGATTCGATTCGGTTTTCGGTTTTCGGTTTTACGAACCCACCCCTAGTTTGGGGTGTTTTCACTTAGGGGCATGAGATTCATTTCTTGACAACCACAGGCTCGTGATTTTACTCCATTATCTCACCCGGGGCACCCACCCATACGCCGTTAGTTAGCGCTGATGTGGCATTACTTTTAACGGTTAATTTTAAATGCTTTTACTTAGTCATATACACGTGGCTTTTATTTTTTGGTTACTTATTAAAACCCTTCAGACTCTTCTTTAAGACATTGCTAATCCGTTGTTGAAGGTCAAGAAAGAGGAGTACCCTTCAAGCGCCGAGTCCTGGTCGATGGATGGAAGAAGACGAATTAAGAGGTGTGAGTGTGGACTCCAAGCACCACTGTGGACTGCTACGACAGACAAAAATAGGGGGAAAAGATTTCATGGATGCGGTCGTTACTTGAGTGCTCAAAAGTGCAATTTTTTTGAATGGGTTGAGGATGAAGAATATGGTACTTGCCTGAGACGGATAGATAGTTTGGTTCAGAAGATTACCAGTGTTGAAGATAATTTTCGTATGAAAGAATTAGAGATGCAAGCTGAAATCAAGAGTTGTGTTCGTGGGATTGGTCTTTTGAAATTTCAGAATATGGAAGAGGAACTTAAGATGTCAAAGAAAGGAAATAGGACTTTCTTCTGGAATCTAGTGTGTTTCGCGTTGTTGGTTATCATCTTGATGGGAAGCAGGATGTATTAGGTGTCAAGGTTGCCATGTGTTTGATAAAATGTCTCAGTAAAATTTCTCTATGTTTTGTATGGTTGTGTTAGGTTTTAGGTGTGAAGTTGCCATCCGTAGTTGTTTTGTATGGTTTATGGTTGTAATGTACTGTGTGTGTCTTGAGTTTGGTTGTAAGATTGTAATGAACTTTATCAAGTTGGTTATGAAGTTTATGAACTTTATGAAGATCCATTGTCAACTTAAATGTTAAACATACCAAGTTTATGAGCTTGGTTATGAAGGTTATGTAATTTATGAAGTGTGGTTGTCAACTTAAATGTCAAACATACGAAGTTTCTGAGCATGGTTATGAAGGTTATGTAATTTATGAAGTTTATGAAGTGTGATTGTCAACTTAAATGTCAAACATACCAAGTTTATTAGCTTGGTTATGAAGGTTATGTACTTTATGAAGTTGTAAAACATGGAATGACATTACATAAGAAAGAATGAAAGTAACAGATAGTATGATTACCAACCATACTTGACAAACACAAGAAATACACAAGTGTTGGTTAAGATAAACCAAACCGTTCTGGTACATTACACTGATAGTAACAGATTGCATAATGATGATCCCATGTTAAAGTAACATGTAGTAACAGATTACATAACCAAGAATGATTACCCATGAGTACAGAAACTATTCCAAAACAAACTAGGCATCATTTTTGAGCAAAATCACTACATAAATGTATCAAAAACATATGATAGATTACATTTGACCAACCAATGTCCGGTACTTTATAATGATTACTCAATGAGTACAAAAACCCTTCCAAAATAGACTACAATGACTACATTACACAGCCTTCTAACATTTCCCTATTGCATTGCATGGAGATTATAAGCAGGCATCTTCCTAGCAATTTCACCACATCACATCACATCATTGAACCACCCATCTTCAGCAGTGTTTGTCCTACAACATAGTCATCCATTAGAATATGTATAACAACAATCACTTATAGTTCAGATCATTTAGCCATACTAGGGCTTGATGTGGTTGTGAGCTGGAGGATCTTATGCTTCTTCTAAATGATGGTTTACTGGACATTCTTCTTCTCTTTGTTAAGGTTCTTACATTTGGAATATAAGTATTGGGGAAAGATTCTTCATTTGCAGTACCATGAACACGCACCTCAGTGTTTACAGTACACTCTTCATTTCCAGCATCTTCAGAATCATCATGTGCCCTTGCTGTGGAAGACTTTTGCCTTCTCAGCCTCATTCTTCTCTACCATGGAGTTTCTTCAGTAAGGGTTGTCTTACATCCTCGAACATTATGTCCCACCTGCTTACAATTACCACACTCAACTTGTTTGCCAGCCCTAGAAATCTTTTATGGATTCCTTGTTTCTTCTAGAGCTCTAACCCTCTTTTTCTTTGGTCTACCAGCTGGCTTTCTTGGAATTGGAGGCTTTATATCAGGTAAGTCAGTGGTTTCCCACTCCTCTTTACTAGGGACATGGTGAATCATATGCTTATACACATCTAGGTAGGTAGCTTTAAAGTAATATGCACTAACGTAGTCCTCAGGCTTTTCTCTGTTAGCATAAATAGCAGACATTCCATGTTTGCATGGGATTCCATTTAAATCCCACATTCTACAAGAGCAAGTTCTTTCATTCAAATTCACCACATAACTTCTATCAAAATATTCAACCTCGTAAAGTTTGTGACGTGCACTTTGTCGTGATGTGCACTCAAAATAATAATACAATACGACACTAATACGTAGTATAGTGTAGTAAGGTTTGTATCCACAGGGAAAGGAACATTTCTCTTTTTATAGAATTAGAAATAAGTAACAAAGGGTTTTTTTTTATGATTGGTTGATGAACTTAAATTATATTTAAGCACGAAGATGAACGAGTTATGTGGTTTAATTAATGAGAAGGAGACTTGGTTTTGCTTTTATCCACTTGATGAAATGTTCGTCGATCCCGGTTATATCTTTAACTATCTTCCTCTCGAACACTCAATCGAGGAGTAAATCCAGTTCATCGAGGGTAGTTATTAATAACCAGATGCGTTCATTAATAAAACTTACTATCGAGTCAATATAGAACAAGCGCCGTATATTAACTTGATAGTAGCAATAAACTTAAGATGAAAACGATTGAGATTGATAACCTCAACACAAGCGGTTTATTGGTTAATCAATGTAATTAATTCCCCTTAGATTATTAACCATGAGATGCATGCATTAATAATCCAAGTTTACTACCGTGAAAGGACCGAATTAATAACAAGCGTATTAATCGACCGATTCTAGTATTAATTAATATATGAAACAAAACTAGTTGATCCTTTAAGTAATGTTCAAAATATTAATATGAAATATGAATAGGAATTAATTAATACTCAAGAAAGAATATTAAAGAAGATGAATCCTACTATAGTTAATATCAAGATGTTAACTAATTGTCATCTTAGTAACACTCACCGATATTAACGTAGAGGAAGAAATAACTATTACTATAACTAATGTCAAGATGTTAACTAATTGTCATCTTAGTAACACTCCCCAACATTGATATAGAAATAGTATTTAAAGGAAGAATTAATATTCAAGGAAGAAGATTAAAGATAATAACTCACAACTTACAAATTCATTAAGCTTCAAAGGAGCAAAACCAAGATGGAAGAGTTTAGCTCCTCATTTGGAGACTAAACATGCTATAAAAATATAAAAGAAATACTATTCTAAACTGAGCTTTAGAGTATGGAAGGAGGGATGAAAAATAGTGAAGGAAAAGTGTGCTATTTATAGGTGTTTTTCAACACCTTGGGCCGGGTACCCGACCGGGTAAAGTGCCCACCCAACCGGGTGCATGTCAAAATCAAATATCCTCCACGTTCTGGCGATCTTCGGCACGTTCTGGTGTTCCGGGTCAAGTCGGACCCGACCGGGTGAAATACCTCACCCGACCGGGTGATGTAATTTCCTGAGTACCTGCATCTGTTAAATCAGACCCGACCGGGTCTGTGCACCTGGGTATTTTTCTTCTTCTTTTCACTTCTTTTCCTTGCCAATAACTCTACTACTACTTTACAACTTACTAAAAATGATTAAGATCAATTACAAACAAATGAAGATGATTGCTTAAAAACTAACTAAAAACGGTAAACAATCCACACAGAATAAATATAAAAACATACATTTATGCACTACAAACTAGTGCATATCAGTTTGTCACCATCTGGAGTGCAAAAACAATTCCTACTATCATACTTCAGTTTTTCTATAAGGTCCCGTTTGTTAGGACAAATATCTCCCTTATATTTCAGCATCCCAATGTACTTGACACGAAATCTCTTCATTAACCTTTTTCTAATCCATTCAAACATGCTTAGGATAGGCAAATCTCTTGCTCTAAGAATATAAGAATTGAAAGACTCACAGATGTTGTTTTGTAGAGCATCAGAATGTGTATGTGGTGAAAAATGTGCCCTACTCCAAGTCCTCGGGTCATACTGCATTAACCAAGTGTGGGAAGCCTCATCAAAATTTTTTATGCCTTCCATATGTCTCTGCCATGACCTCAAACTCCTAGTGCTTACAGCAACCCATAACTTCTTCTTGTACTCTCCACCCCTAAAAACCTTCTTGTAGTTCTCATACATGTGTTTCAAGCAATATCTGTGCTCATCGGAGAGATTCACTGCCTTAAAATCCTCCACTAACCCCTGAAATAAGTTAAGAAGTTCAAAGATTACATATTAAAGCATTACAACAATACAAGCTTCATATTTATACAAGTTTAGTGACAATGAGTACAAAATGTTATTACCTTCTGTTTATCAGACATTCAGACATGAACACCCACTTTGTGTCTTCTGGCCTTCCAAAATCCTCAAAAAGAACTTGGAGGAACCAAGTCCATGAAGTTTTATCCTCACTGTCAACATAGGCAATAGCAAGGGGAAACATATTCTCATTTCCATCCCTGGCAACTGCACACAGAAGTTGACCTCCCATAGAAGTCTTCACATGGCACCCATCAAGGCAAATTAGGGGTCTTAAACCAGAAAAATACCCTTTTTTCTGAGCTGTGAACCTCATATACATGTACTGAAATATTGTCACCTCTTTAAGTATTGAAGGAACTCCTTCAGCTGCTGGTTGGACCTCCTCAGACAGTTCAGTTTTAAGCTTCACCAGACTACCCGGATTATACTTCAAAACTGTTGCAGCATAATCCCTACTAGTCTGCAATGTCATCAACAATTTTGGCCTTTGCTTTCACTCTTGCTCTATAACACATGGCTAGGCTCACATGCACCCTAAGCTGCCTTTGTATGATCTTTTGCATTGCACCAACATCCCAGTTAGGATTTTCTCTCAACTCATCAAGGTATTTCTCACTCAAATATGTGCTTGTCACAAGACTGTTTCTATTACTAAAGGAACATTCATGCTTGGGCTTGAAAGTCTTAATTTGGAAATATCCAGGATCACTCATTTTAGAAGCATGTATCCGGAATGAACAAGTTTCTTTATTTTTGCAGACCACAGTGATGTTAGATCTTCTGTTGTTCACATACGTGTAATCAAAAGCACCTTTAACAGCCCACTCTTTTAGAGCTTTTCTGCATTCCACATGTGAGGTGAATCTCATACCTTTGCACAAATCAGGGTGTTTAGATCCAATGTCTGAATTAAACTCAGGTACATTCCCATCTACATTTTCAGATCCATTGTAGCTGTGTAGATCTTCACTGTAGGCAACCTGTTCATTGAACTCTTGTAAGTCATCCAAGTCTTCCTGGTCATTCACAGGTTCTTCATTGACTTGGTCCACATGCTTTTGCAACTGAAGTTGTTCATCCTCACTAATCACATCCTGAAACACCTCATCTTCACTCCATTCTAAATCAGCATATAACCAACTAGCTTCACTAATGTGGGAAACAGACTGTTCTTCAGATGAACTTTCACTCACACTCCTTGACTGTAGGTATTCTTCATCTTCACTGTTTGTGTGGAATTGTAGTTGTAGAAATGTAGGAATTACCTCTTCAGTCTGGGAATTAATTGGAGTGTGGGCTGACTCCACACCAATGACAGGTTGTAAAGTTTGGGCTGGTGTAGAAGTAGGGGTTGGATCTGCACTTTGACTTTGTGTATGGGCTGCATCTGTACTTTGTGAAGGAATTGAGGGGCCTCCTGTTAATTTCTCTTTCCCTTTCCCTTTTGTACTCTTCTTTGATACAAAATACAATTCAATGTAGGGGTCCATTATGTTGTCAAGAAGCATCTCGTGTACATCTTTATCACACACAATTTTCTGCAAACCAACTGACCCACTCACATCTTTAATTGACAACCTTCTAAACCAGATTTGTACACCATCTTGATACCCCAAGTCCTTTGCAAACCCATGTAGTTCGAATTTACTGATGTAGTCAATGTCTACCTTTTCCTTTTTCGTGACCTCACCTCCCAAATATTCTTGTTTCCTTTTCGCACAGTCCCATTTACCACCATGGTGAATCAACAAGTTAACATATTCTGTCATTCCAACCTATACATACATTTTGGGAAGCCGTAAATTACACATTCCACACATAGCAATGACATTAACACACAATCCAGTCCGAAATTAAAAGCATATGTAATAAAGGAAAGCAACAATGGTGTACTTACGTTTTACAGAAGGTCCGACTTCTAATCTCACTTCCCCACCAAAGTCGTCCTTCTATTCTGACTTCCACTTCACTTTACCGGCGGCAACCCTGTTATTTTAATTCGTTGGTAAACCTAAATTTTAGATTAAAGGAGGTAAGTGATGCGTGTTTAATGGAATTCCAACTAATGATGTGCTGGACAGGATGTGGCCAAATAAATGATGCCACATCAGCGCTAACTAACGTCGTATGGGTGGGTGCCCCGGGTGAGATAACGGAGTAAATTCACGAGCCTCTGGTTGTTAAGAAATGAATCTCATGCCCCTAATTGAAAACACCTCAAACCACAAGTACGTTTATTGTAGTTTTCCCTATATTTTATATATAGACGAAGTATATTCTACCATCTCGATATCTATTACTACGTAAATTATAAATTATAAAGTACAGAGCAGTAAGTCATATGTCCTCCAATGTAATTGTAAATTTTCTAGGCACTTTTTCGGGTCTTTTATCAAACGGATCTACTTCATTCAGCTAGTAGTTCAGATTCAACACATCAAAATTCAGTTCCAGTTAATTCAGGCAATAGCCTCTAATTCAGACTTTAGTCTCCAGCTCCAGCTCGTAGTGCCAAACATAGCCACATTCGACAAGCAATCAAACAAGCAATGTAGACAATAGACACATTTCTAAGTGCATATGCATTTGTTAATATATTAGACATAATATACAAAACTCAACGTCTGAAGACGATGATATAACTAATTCTAGGTAAATGTTAAATAATATTTATCGTTTTTAAATCTAAACAAATTTTGTGATGTGTTTAATTATGTGCAATAAAATAAATTAATCTCATAGGGTGCCAATGATCTAAAATTTAATTTACTATCGTTTGTGTTCATTCCTCATCTTATATGAAAGTTCTTTTTCATTTCTTCTAATCATTGGTGATTAATAATTGATTTACATCATGTTTGATCTTTTTTTTTTGAAGAGAATGTTTGATCTTTAGCCGTGTTTTCTACCTCATTTAGATCTAGGGGTGTTTAAAATTCGGTAAACTAATTAGTACTTCAATTTTACTCAATACCGAAATATTAAATTATATTCAAACATATATATTTACGTTAATTGCAAATGTGTTACTTATCTCACAAAAATCAACAAGTCCCACTTTAGAGAGATTCAACATTTACGTTCAACTTATGTGACTGTCTCATTTTGATTCTGATCGAAATACACACATATGAACATGCTCTTCTATTCTTTTTATCACATTCCTTTGCAAATGCTCTACTGATCTACTCTTCTTTTGCGAATATGCTATCTTTAGGTCTAGCTACTATTTTGTTTTTATGAGGTAATGCGTGTTTATATTATTTTATAACAAACAATACAGGCATGTAAAGTTAATTCCCCGTGTTCATATAACTAGAAATCCTAATTGTTTCGTCGTCGTCGTCATTGTCATCGTCGTCCTCGTCGTCGTCATCATCATCATCACTGTTATTTGAATTTAGCATTTGAGGTCGTCGTATTTTTGTATGACTTTGTGAAATGAATATATAAGAGACAACAAATGATTTTATTGGACTTTTGTTTTTCCTTATCTTACTTTTGGAAGAATTGGCTTATATTGATAACACATAATTCAGAGTATGGGTACAACGACAAAATGAAATCTGACAACCGTCGTCCCGCGAATCAGACTTGGAATTAATCACCTCCAGAGAAGCAATATAATTCGCTGATCCATAAAAGGGAGCACCAAAACCAAAAATGGTTACCGTATTCCTCTCATCCTCCACATCCAAACCCAACGTCTTACAAACAGGAACAACAAAGAAAAAACAAAAGACAAAACAGACATAAAAGTCACTGGAAATATAAACAAAACAGATAAAATAAAACTTCTGTCCCAGCCTGCTAACTCGAACGGTCCCTCAGACGTGCTGCCTCCATGCCCTTGTCAGAAGTTTCGGCAGGCTCAAAGAGCAAAGCCCGCCTCCTCCCCGTTTTTTGCCCCCATCCAAAGCCATATTGTCCTCCCCTTGTATCTGCTCTGTCCGAGTCTTCCAGAGCTTCCTTCTATTCGAAACCTCTTCCTTTGATTCCTCTCCTGCTCCTATGGTAATGCTCTGGGCTGATTCTGTCGTTGCCTCTTTCTCTTTGTCACCAGACCGCCCTTCCGATTTAAAAGCCCCTGTATACCCACCCGTTCTGCCAGAGCTCGATGAACCCGGCCTCCAGGAGCCATTTATTACCTCCTGTTGGGCTGGTCTTCACCCCACTTCCTGCTTTAAGATGGATTCCATATCTTTTTTTCTAAAACTAAGCCTTCTTCATAATTTAGAGGACAAAAATTATCTGAATGTCCAATGAAACCACTTATGAAACAAAAGTTGGGCAGTCTTTCATATTTGAAATCTACCCAAAAACTTTTACCATCTTTTTTCAGATTTGTCCCCCTTTTTAACGGTTTATCAACCTTCATTAACACCCTAACCCGCATATATGGCTCCAACTTTTCACTTTTCTGATTGTCATCATACTTTATGAAATCCCCAATGAAATTTCCCACACGTCTGGCAGTACCCAAATTAACTAAGCTATAGGGAACATTATGTATCTGAACCCAAAACTCAGTCTCATTTAAAGTAATTTTGTGTGGTATATCATCAGACTTAACATTTTTAACATCAAAAGACTACGTTCAAATTGTCAAGGTTCTCCCTCAAGCACACGCATCGTATCAAAACGATGAAAAACGTAAACATATACCTCTTTTCACCAATTTCCTTAACTGTCATACCCTTCCCCGATCGCCACAGAGATAACATCAACTCCTTAAGATCCGGAAATTTGACTTTCCTATTGGTTACTACCTGACCGATCACCGGGAATCCTTTTGAACCAGTCTCCACCGGATCTTCCTCGGCGTCAAGCTCGTCAAGATCCAGCTCCTCCTTGTCTTCCCCGATTGCCATCTGCTTATATCTATCGACCACAGATTCCATTCACAACTGTTCCGTCACTGCTCCGGTTGCAAACTCCGAGTACTGCTCGCCGGCTCACTGCCTGCTTGTCCCTCCAAGCTCCTGGATAAATAACCCACCATCAGCAAACCCACCAATCGGCAGACTAGTCACCGCCCTAATCCACCAATCCACCACACCCGTTATTCAACCTGAGAAGCTTCGAAAACCCTTTTTCTTGTCTATTCCTAATTTTTTCCTTATCTTACTTTTTTTTTGAAAGAATTCGGCTTATATTAATAACCAATAATTTTTCAGAGTATGGGTCAAAAGACAGAAAGAAATCTGACAACCGTTATCCCTCGAACCAGACTCGGAATTAATCGCCGCAACAATAAAATTCACTGATCCATTATTGAAAAACACAAAGCCAAAAACGGTCACCATATTCCTCTCATCCCCCATATCCAAAATCAACGTCTTACAAACGGGAAAATAAACGAAAAAACAAATACCAAAACAGAACCAAACAACATACAATTCGATAGAAAAACACAAACTGAATAAAATGAAATTAAAATAGAATTCACTCATCTTCTTCCAAACCCTAAATTTGTTTGCACTCCATGGCGGCGGCTCAGGAGGGGGACGCGGCCGCCATTCATCCGCCACAGCTTCAACATCAGCTTTATTCAGATCCAGTTCTTCTTTCTCTGCGCCAATCGCTATCGTCTTGTATTTGTCCACAAAGCTTCCCAGCCCGAAAAGAGAAAACTCAAACGAATGTCCAAAGCTCGTTTCCACCTCCATATCCTCCGACAAAGCTAGGCTGCAACGAGAAGAAACCACAAAGAACTCGACCGAGACGCCCTGCTTTGCTCTCCTTCAACAACGAACCCTTCTTGTTGAATCCCAAATCAAAACGAAACAGAGCTCCGAACCGCACCTTCTTCCAACCAATCCAAACGAAAGAAACTCCAACAAATAAAAAGCGTGGTGGCGTGCCTAAAGACCGCCACCGGACAAACCCTAGGCCGACCAAAGCCGTGGCTCTAATTTTTTCCTTATCTTACTTAAACACTAGAAAAGTGTAATTGCGGAAACAAAATCAAATTAATACAAGTAATTACCGAATCCAACATCTATTTTGGTTCGGCATTCAATACAAAGAAAGCTAGCCAAAATTTTGATTTACCAAATTTTGTTTTGACAATGCAGAATCAAAATCCTATTTAAATCATTTAGGCTAGGTACGTTAAAGGATCAAATAGGCCGAACCCTTGGCATATTTTCTTTTGGAGTGAAATTTGTTGGTCATCTGGTCTGGTCTGTTTAAGTCTGGTCTTGTCTGAACTGGTCTGGTCTGGTCTGGTAAACGTCTGGTCTCTGTGCATTTTATAACTATCCAAGTCTGGTCTGGTCTGGTCTGGTCTGATCTGGTCTGGGACTGAAAACAATCCAAAAGAAAACATCCTTATACATGTCTGTTATGGTCAATTCGCCCTCTGAACTAAGACAAACTCCAATTGATACGTTGAACTGGATAAAAAAAATTAAATTTAAATATTTACAGATAACCACCCCTTCAGTGCCACGTCATGAGATAATGTGCCAAATTTATCTGAGGTGGCAACTCAATGGCTCAAATTAGCCCTTGAACTCGTCCAAACTGTTCAATTCACCCTTCAACCATTAAAAAGGGTCAAAATTATGAAAAATAAAAATAAGAAATCGGAAAATAAAAATATAAAATAAAATACAATTTGAAACTATTAAATATAAAAATGAAATATTGTGTTTTGTGGTAAATTCACAATAAAAATAAAATATAAACTAAAATAAATTCTTTAACTTTATTTTCATATCTTTTATGTATATTTAATATTAAAAATGTGAATGTTATGTGCACACACATACACGCATCCATACACATATTTGTATTACCTTACTTTATACCGTACATTATAAAGTACAAGTAATTACTACGTAGAAACTTTTTAAAAAATACGTAGTATATTTAATACGTTAAAAACTACTATAATTTGTTTGTGTATTAAATATTGAAAATATGTAATCACTATTTTTATATTTTACTTCTTATATAATATAGTATAAACGTTTTATGGTTTAAATAATTAGTATAACATATAGAATTAAAACTTCTATACGTCTATTTTTACTTTTATAAATACAAAAAAGTCTAATTAGTATACTTAAAAAAAATACAATTTTATCAAAATAGAAATACTTTTAATACTACATCCGTCCCAAAAAACTTTGCCATTTCAAAAAAATTGAACCTTGATTTTGATTAGTATGATATTATGCAAGTGAAAAAATTTATACTTTTATGAAAGTACTTTTAACAAAGAACATTTTTATATAATTTTTATATTATAAATAGTTTTCAATAAAAAGATGGTCAAAGTTTTGAAAATGACAAAGTTTTTTGGGACGGAGGTAGTATATAATTATACCGAAATGATATATTTTAGTCTTCATTAAAAACACGAAA